CAGATTATGGCTTCCCTCCAAAGAGGGCCAGGGTAAAAGTGGAGGTGTCCCCAGCTAGGATACTCCAACCTCCTTCTCTGCAGCTATGTCTACCAAAAATCCAGGTCCTGTCCAAGCTAGGGTCCATCTTGATGTCTATAGAAGGGTAATAGCAGCCACACTCTGAGGCTCAAAGCTCCTCCCCTAACCCTCCTACTGTCCATGTCCATGATGAACAGACAGCAGGCCACTGTTCATGTCTTGACAGATGATAGCAGGCTCCAAGTTACTACACTTTTGCTTTGTGACACCTTGGGTACTCAACATTCGGGATTCCAGATCTCTCTCTCTCTCCCCCTCCCTCCCTCCCTCCCTCTCTCCCTCTCTCTCTCTCTCTCTCTCTCCCTCTCTCTCTCTCTCTCCATCTTCCTCCCTCCCTCTTAAATTCTTCTCTTATATATTATATCCTGACAGATCAGTTTCTCCTCTCTTCCCTCCCTGAGTCTCTACCCCCTACCTCCCCTGTCCTCCAGATTCACTGCCCCCCTCAGAAAAGAGCAGGACTCCCAGAGACATCAACCAAACACAGTATAACAAGCTACAATAAAATCAGGCACAGACCAGCACATCAAGGCAACCAGTAGGAGGAAAAGGGTCCCACAAGTAGGCAAAAGAGTCAGAGAGAGGCAGGCCCCTGCTCCCACTATCAGCAAGCTACTCAGCCATAACATACATGCAGAGAACCAAGGTCAGACCCCTACAGGCTCCCTGATCTCTGTGAGCCCCCACGAGTTCTGGTCAAGTGATTCTGCGGGCCATGTTTTTGTGGTGTACCTGAGGATTCCAGATCTTAAGGTCCATCTGGGATTCAGAGCACTGCAAAGCTGTGACATGCATGTTAGGTTTCTGTACTCATATTCATCTGCTAGCATTGCTCAAGCATGCTGAAACTGCTTAGTCATACTTGGAGCACTTTCTTTGTGACTGCCTTATGGTTTGCACGGAATGAAAGTTTCAGTCATGAAGCGATGGCAAGGAATTTGCAGCCACAGGGCATCACAACACCAGCAGAGGTGGCATGAAGACTGCAGAGGCTTTGAAGAAGTTAATAGGTAGCAAAGCCTTTTCTGGGAATGCCCTCAGCCTAGATTCACCAGATAACCTGAAGTCTTGGAGAAACATGAAGATTTTTAGCTCAGGAGAATCTCAGAGATGGCCCAGAAGGCAGCACTCACCCTAGGAGAATAGGGGTCTTTGTGTACAGGGTCTGGCTGTGAGTTATATTGCCCTGGCCTGAGTACATCACCATGGACGTTACTTTGCAGAAGTCTACACTGCTTGAAAGAGGAAGTTCTATGACAGCTTGACTCGCATAAAAAACGAAGTTCCCCGGATTTCTTGTCCTGCTCTTTGTGGCCTCACACAATGTCCTGCACAGAGCATTGAAGGTCACAGCTCAGCTTCATCCCTTGTTTGCTCCTGTGGATACTTAGGATAGGGATGCAGAATCCATTGAGGGGGTAAAGAAAAGACTGTGTGGGCAAAAGACAGGGTGGGGAGGAGAGTCTTGTCTCTTGGATCAGCTCTATGAATCCTGTTTTGTTTTGATTTCTTAGTTATTTATTGCATTATTGTTGCTGTTGTTATTATTATTAGTGTGTGTGTGTATGTCTATTGCGTGTCTGAGGACAACTTCATGGAGTTTATTCTTTCCTTTTATCTTCATATGAGTCCTGGGGCTCAAACTCAGGTAATCCAACTTGCCCAATAATCATTTTTACCCACTGAGACACATAACCATCTGTGTTTGGAAGAGTTCATGTCACATACAATAAAGGTGGGACAGTTTCCAGTCTGTAAATTGACTGTGTGACACAGACAAGTGTCAAGTGAGATACTGAAGAGCTAAAGGACAGGAAAATAATGTCAGGGAACTCTTAGTACAATGTCACTGTAGTTTGGAATCCAGCCTAGTCTCAGGTGCAGGAGTGAAAACTGCAATTAACCTTTCAGACTTGTGCTTTGGGATTGAGCTTCTGAGACTGACCGTGCTGGGCCACATGAAGCTCCAGTTTTTATGTAGGTAGTTCACATTCATGCAAAGTGTGGGATCAGATCTCCAAGGGCTGTCAGTGCCCTTCTTTTGATTTCTAGCACCACACACACACACACATACACACACACACACACTCACACACACACTCACACACACACTCACACACACACACACAGGGTTTGAAGAGAACAGCTGGGAGTATCCATCACACCATACAAATGCATGCATGCATCCAGGAAGCCCTCCTGTCTGTCTCACAGGATGATTCAAGTTCAGTTTTACTCTATTTCTTTTATCTATGTTGGTAAAAACATTATACTCATTACCTTCAAGATGTCATGTTCAGGCTAAGGGAAAACTCCTCTCCCTGCTGAAAATTTCTTAGTGAACCCTGCTGCAGAAAGAAGTGGTAGCAAGGGAAACTCTGCTCCCTAATCAAGGCAGGCCCGGGTACATCTAGCCCTATTGAATCCATGCTGCTGACTAGGAAGGCCAGGGCCTCCAGGGATCCTACACATTCTAATGTTCACTAAGTTTGCCAGACTCCCTGGGATTTGTGAAGAGAACTGCATCTCAGCCATTGTGAGCTGAGCCTGGATGGAAAACCCAGGACCAAGATGTGTGTGACTCCTAGGCTTACATTTTGTGTCCAGTGGAAAGGCCAACAATGTCTCCTGTAAACTGACCTTATAGTACAATCCTGGGAGTGGCTATCCATTTTCTGTCCCCAGTCAGGACTGGTTGCCTACCCCACCTCCAGCTGGCATCTCCCCTGAGCTACAAGTGACCTTCTGAACAGTTTCCTTCAGGGAGCTCCTGTTCCCTCCACCCTGTCCACACTTCCTCTGCATTTCCTTTCTCCAAACAAGGCGTTGCCCTCTTCCTGTTTCCCTGTCACTAATGACTTCAGTCCAGGGAAGGGAAATGTCATACTAAGCCCCTTCCTTTGTCCTTGCTCTCAGACTTTGATTTCAGACTAAAGCCAGTGCATAGCAGGGATGAAAGATGGGTGCCCTTACCCAGCCACTCTCTCTGATGCTTACTGTTGGAAGACCCAGCCCTGTGGGGTGGGACAGCCTTCAAATCAGCCTTCAGGAATCATGATTGCTGATATGGCGCTCCAGGCAAAGTCTGGAATCATAAACATCCCACATGAAATTCCCGTCACAGTGAGAAACACACCTTAACTGCTCACAGCCTCTGATACCAGAGTGACACACTGGAGATAAAGGAAATGTGATTTCTATTTTTAAGGTTACAACTCTTTATTAGAGCACAAGTATTGTCAAAGGACATTATTGGATATTTGTGTAATGTATGTGTCACTAACTTTTGATTATTGTTTCTATGTTCTTCCAAATTGTTGGCACCAGTGCAAGATGGGAATTCTTCCTAAGAGAGACAGAGCTGGAGGGATTGGAACAGGGTTCCAGCTCAATGGCTAAGGAGGTTCCTCCATTAGGGAGGGCTAGTGGCTAGACCCTTCAGTGGTTATGTCATGCAGAAACACAGTGGTCCCCAGAATGGTGTGTAGAAGGCCCAGTGTGGTAGTTGACCTTTCCCCCACTGCCCTCTGGACCCCAGCCTCTGTATTCAGTGTAGAGACAGTAGGAATTTCTTCCAGGAATTCCACCCTTCCGCTGCTCCACCCATACAGCTGCCTTCCCTCCTGAGTAAGGGCTACAGCCCGGGGCTACAACATAAGGAGCCCTGGGATCAGGGAAGATGTGGTTTGTTGGAGCAGAGGGCACTGTTCTGGGCACTGGTTGCCAGCTTTTGAGTATGTGTAACAAAGATAGCAATCCCGCGTCCCTTTAAGTACTGTGTACGGGGCAAAGCAACTTCTGTGAGTCACTTTTAATTCCCTTGGGTAATATGGCAGAGACTTGGCCTCCATTTTGCTGAAACGAGGGCTAGAGAAGTCAAGTGACTTGTCTAAAATCACATAGTAATTTGGCAAATATAGCCCTACCATCTGTGAGGGTAAGCCCCAAAGCCTTGGCGAGGTATCTGAAACCATAGGTAGCACCAAATCCTAGGTATATGATGTTTTCCCTATATCCATATCCATATCTATAAGAATTTACCTTATGAATCAGCCACAATATGAAGTTAACACTAGCTAATGAGATAGGATAATCACAGCAATGCTATTTAAAACAGATGTGTTATTTGTTCCTGGAATATTTATTTAATACTTTGGGGGGAGGAAGTGACTGTATTTATGGATTATCTACTCTACTACGCACCATTATGCCTGTCACATGGTATATGACAGCACAGGACGGAAGATCCCTTGAACTGGTACACACAGGCTACACTCAGTGCTTCCTGAGAGTGACAGATTATGACAGTTTGTCGTAGAATGGAATCAGGAAGAAATGCAGCATTTCTGAGCATCCCCTTTTGGATGAACTAAGATACCCTTGAGAGAGCCTTTGCTGTCTCATCCAGACACATGCTAGAGCAAGAGGCACCCTGGGTGGCCAGTGGCTTCTTCACAGCCTCCTCAGCTCACCTCCCTGTCCCTGGGTGGCCAGTGGCTTCTTCACAGCCTCCTCAGCTCACCTCCCTGTCCCTGGGTGGCCAGTGGCTTCTTCACAGCCTCCTCAGCTCACCTCCCTGTCCCTGGGTGGCCAGTGGCTTCTTCACAGCCTCCTCAGCTCACCTCCCTGGCCCTGGGTGGCCAGTGGCTTCTTCACAGCCTCCTCAGCTCACTTTCAAGTGAGTTAGCAATCTCCAGAAAAGTGGAACTCAGTAAGCGACGCTAACCAGTGCCCGTAGTGAGTGACATCTGCCCTTTGGGTGTGATAAATAAGACTGGGAAACATTCTAAGGAAAAACTAAACAATGTGTGTTGGGGAAGTCCTGTTATTTGTCAATAAAGTACTGTTGAGCCTATAGAAAACCTAGATAGGAGGGACTAGGAGTCGAGGAGGATTCTGGGAAAGAGAAAGACAAGAGAGTTCGAGATGTAACCGCATGGGGTAGGAAGCCGGGAACTATTCTCCGGTAAGAAACATACTCAGATTAACAATTATGGGGTAATTACTTAAGTCAGAGCTAGCCAGTAACAAACAAGCAAGGCCAACAGCTTCATAATTAATATAGCTTCCCGTGTGTTTATTTGGGACTGATGCCGATCTAGAACCAGGCGGGTGGAACGGCTCCTCACAAAGAATAAGCTTCTCTTAACAAATGTGTATGAACCAACTCTGGGATCAAACCCAGAGAAGTACATGTGTTGGGCATTTGCTTTGCTACTTAGGCACACACACACACACACACACACACACACACACACACACACACCTGTGAAACAGACTTAAAACATTCTGTCAATGTAGTACTACCTTCCTATTAAAGAAAATCATCAAGAGGGAGAGGGGAAGATAAAAATTGAAAATACATGCCCCACATCAAAAGAAGATGTAGCTAGCTACAAGATCAGCTTTACAGAATGAAGCAAGTGTGTACTGCACATCTGAAATGGTAGCCAGGGGGAAAGGTATAATGTGTGGTTACATGGATGTCTTCAGTTGTTTGCCAAGAGATCAGGCCAGGCCATTTACAGTTCATCCCTCACTGTGTCGGGCATCCTGGTTCCAGGGAAAGGATAGCTATTCACAGTTTTCTCTTTAACTAGAAATATTATCCATGAGATCACATGCTGTAAGCAAACATTGCTTTAAAAAATTTTTGAGTTCGTGGTTTCTGAACTGAAACCTACAGGAGGCTGAGAAACTGCCTGCAGGGATTTTGAATTGGGTAACTTGACTCTAGTACATGAGGGCCTCCTATGTGAGTATCTTTGTGGCAGGTGGCTGGGGATGTATTTTGCAGAAAAAGTTTCCAAGCACTATCTTACCTATAGGGTCTCTGGATGCCATCTTTTCCTGAAGAGTCCTTACCTGCCCCCCATTTACCCTGTCCAGCTCCTGTCCCACTCCCTGGCATCACACTGACACTGTCCTGGCACTTGTGGACTACCAGGCTCTGGGTATTCTTATGTTAGATAGGATCCTGTCCTGTTTTGGGTGACTTGGGACAAATTCAGGGCTCTTCTGGAGTGAGGGGTGGCTGCATGGAATGACTGAAAATGAGTCATTTTAAAGTCTCTCTCTTTCTGTCATCTGCAGGGCTCTGGGACTTAGAACCCTGTGGAAAGTGGTGGCCACAGCTTGGGCCCATCTCTAAGAGTTTTGTCTGGAGCAGGGCATTTACCCAAGCTGTTCCAACAGTCCAGGACTGGGCTTAGAGTCCTATGTATTAATTAATCAAACAGGGGCTAATGTCTCTTTGAAGATACCCAAATGTCCCAGTCCCATTGCTCTCAGCCACTGGCTAAAGACAGATGGTTCATCTGAGATTTTTAACCTGATTGAAACAACAGTCAGTTGGCAAGCTGGAGTCAGGGTGATGAGGTAAATGACTCAAATAACTCCATCCTAACTGGTGCTCCTCAGACTGCAATGTCCCAGAAAACTCTGTCTATGATGCTTGGTGACATCTGCAAAGTACCAAAGAGTAAGCAGTGACAGGTCCTTAGAGACACAGTGTCTTTCAAGAGTGGTCCTCCCATGGGTGACGTAAGTGCTGGGAAAGTATGGTTCAGCATCCAGCTCATTCCCCTCTAGGGACCAGAGAAGTCCAGGATTGAGAGTAGAAACTGCCACTCAGTCAGAACTACTGTCACAGCAACAAGTTCTTGACTGTCATTATGAGGTTGGAGGGAGAATTGAAAGGAGGCTTCTTTTTTTTTTCTTTCAGATTTTTAAAATTTAAATTAGAAACAAGCTTGTTTCACATGTCAATCCCAGTTCCCTTTCCCTCTCCTCCTCCCCTACGCTCCACCAACCCCCTATCCCATCCCCTTTCTGCTACTCAGGGAGGGTGAGGCCTTCCATGGGGGATCTTCAAAGTCTGTCATATCCTTTGGAGCAGGGCCTAGACCCTCCCCCGTGTATCTAGGCTGAGAGAGTATCTTTCTATGTGGAATGCAATACCAAAGTCCGTTTCTATACTAGGGATAAACACTGATCCATTACCAGAGGCCCCATAGAATGCCCAGGCCTCCTAAGTGACATCCACGATCAGGAGTCTGGGTTGGTCCTATGCTGGCTTCCCAGCTATCAGTTTGGGGTTCATGAGCTTCCCCTTGTTCAGGTCAGCTGTTTCTGTGGTTTTCTCCAGCCTGGTCTTGACCCCTTTGCTCATCACTCCTCCCTCCCGGCAGCTGAATTCCAGGAGTTCAGTTCAGTGTTTAGCTATGGGTGTTTACTTCCGCTTCCATCAGCCACTGGATGAAGGCTCTAGGATGGCATATAGGGAGTCATCAATCTCATTATCGGGGTAGGGCATTTAAGGTAACTATTGCTTAGATTGTTAGTTGGTGTCATCCCTGTAGATCTCTGAATATTTCTCTAGTGCCAGATTTCTCTTTAAACCTCCCTCTATTATGGTATCTCTCATCCTTCTCTCCTCTATTTTTCCCCTGACTCAACCTTCCTGCTCCCTCATATCCTTCTCTCCCCTCCTCTTTCTCCTAGCTCCCTCCCCCCCCATGCTCCTAATTTGCTCAGGAGATCTTGTCTCTTTCCCCTTCCCTGGGGGACCATGTACGTCTCTCTTAGGGTCCTGAAAGGAGGCTTCTTACTTTTTTCTCTGTTGGATGCCAAACCTTTCCCCAAGAGCAGCCAATAGACCTAGTGGACTTATAGCATTTGGAAGTCCCTAGTCAGAGCCACACACCCAGGAGGAAGCCTCGCTTTCATGGGCACATTTCTTTCTTGCATTCCCTTCCCATCCCTTTCTCTTCTCTATTTATTTTAATAAATAAATTGTGTGTGTGCATCTTCATGTGTGAGTGGGTACATGTGTGCAAGCGCATGTGGAAGCCAGGATTCATCCTTGGGTGCAGTTTCTCATGTACTGTCTGCCTTGTTTTTTGAGACAGGGTCTTTCAATGGCACCTGAAGCTCACAATTTAGGCCCAGCTTGCTGGCCGGTAAGTCCTAGGGACTCCTGTGTTTTTGCATGTCTGATGCTGGGATAAAAAAAATGGGCTACCATGTTAGCTTCTGTAGATGGGTTCTAGGGCATCTCAGATCCTCATAACTGCACAGCAAGCACTTAGCCTACCTAAACTCTATTCCCAGCTCCTTTTTCCTTTTAGGCTTTGGGTCACCAGGCATTCCCACCTGAGAGTCTCTATGGTGGTGGTAAGAAGGTGCCTCTCCCTTTTCCTCTTCTGTTCAGCAGTAAGCACTAATGCACTTGTGTAGAATGGTCTTTCCACTGTGCAAATTACACTGTGATTGGTTTAAATAAAGAAGCGGACTGGCTAATAGCTGGGCAGGAAAAGGTTAGGTGGGAAAGCCAGTCTAGGGGCACTGGGAAGAAGGGTGGAGTGAGAGGAGTTGACAGCCAGACATGGAGAGGAAATGGGAGGTGCAAGATGAAAGAGAGGTAATGCTGTGTGGCAGAATGTAGATTAATATAAACGGGTTAATTTAAGTTGTAAGAGCTAGTTAGGAATAAGCCTGTGCTATCAGCTGAACATTTATAATTAAGCAGTTTCTGAATGGTTACTTGGGAACAACTCCCTAGATGCAGAAAAACTCCACCTTCACACTTGGCTGCTTCTCGTAGCGCCCTTCATACTCCCATGAACTTTTGTTGCATTTGGGAGGTGGAACTATCCTCAGGGGTCTAGTGGTTTGAGTGGAATGGCCTCTGCCATAGGTAGGATTGTGCCCTCCTCCCTAACTATCATGCCAAAGCACACACTCCTAGTACATCGGGAAGTACCTGGTTTGAAGAACTGTTCTTTCTGGAGACATGGTCAATTGAAGTTATCAGGGCAGGTCCTGGTCTCACATGACTGGTACCTTTGATAAGAAGTAGGCAGGATGCAGACACATGGAGAAACATGTCCTAGAAATCATGAGGTCCTAGCAAGAAGAGGGGCTACAGAGGAGCCCAGACTGCCCCACCTTGACCTCAGATGCTTATCTTTCAGAAACCCCAGAGTGTGCTGCAAAGACTTCTAGAAGATGCCAGCCTGCTGTTTGTGAAGGTGCCTCTCCTGAACTCTGTCTGACTTATGTTCCAGATGCTAAATAAACATCCCAGGGAGAGACCAGGTTGCAACTTAGCAGCAAAGGCTTTGCCTTTTGACCCTGGTTTCCTAGCTCTGAAAAAAAAATCTAGGAGGTCAGGCTTTAGACAAGGCTCCTGCACTGAATCCTGATAGAGCAGGCTAAAAATTAAAATAGAATCGAACATGCTCAAATTCTTGGTTGCTTACCTGAAATGAAGTGGTCTGGCTTTCTAAGAGATATTAGATATTCTTTCTGTCTTAATCCTTACATGTGGAAGTGACTCACCTGACCTGATGATAGCTAATCAACTAACTTCCTACTGTTCTGTGACCTCTGGGTTACAAGGAACACAATTTTGAATTAGCTAGCTCAGCTCCTTCTTTTGTTTCCTCTCTCTCCAACCCTTCTGATACCTACCTCCTCCTTTGGGCTCATATGACCTATTTCATGGAATGAAGTTCTGACCGATTCTAGAATAAGAATTAGGCCTTTGAGAGCTAATATTGTCCTCTGATGTAAGATTTACTCCCCTGACCTTTGTCAGAACATGGATCAGGAAGGGAGGTTTGAGATTAATTGTTATTTTAAACATGGTGACTTTTGCACATTTCTGTCTGACATGTGACAGGAGCACATGGATGTAGGTTTGGGGTGGGGACTGTTTGTTATCTCTCTTTTAGGACTTGAAGCTTGTAATCGTTAAGTAACTGCTGAGTGAGTGAGTGAGTGAGTGAGTGAGTGAGTGAGTGAGTGAAGGGAAGGACAAGTCGGGTAGGAAGGTAAATAGATAGATTTGGACATTTTGCAATCAGACAGCCTGTTTCTCTGTTTGAGATTCAACATGATCACTTGACTCCTTTTCTGCCCTGGCACCCTCAGCATCTTCCCTGAGAGTGGGACTCCCCCATACCACTATCCTTACCTTTGCCTCCACAGCAAGGGACCATGGAACTTCACTATTCCTCTGAGCTGTCTGTGAAGGTGTGGTCAGGAGAGCAAAGCCAGATACATCCAAAGGATGCTCAATCATACCACAAGGGTACTTGCTCAACAATGTTCATAGGATGGATAAAGAAAATGTGGTACATTTACATAACGGAGTTACTCAGCTGTAAGAAACAATGACATCATGAAATTTGTAGGCAAATGGATGAAATAGAAAAGAATCATCCTGAGTGAAGTAACCCAGACTCAGAAAGACAAACATGATATGTACTCACTCATAAGTGGATATTAGATGTAAAGCAAAGGATAGCCAGACTGCAGCCCACAGCTCCAGAGAAGCTAGGTAACAAGGAGGACCCTAAGAGGGACACATGGATCCTCCTGGGAAGGGAAATTAGATGCGATCTCCTGGGAAAATTGGGGACTGGGTAAAGGGGAGGAGAAGGGAGTGAGAACTCGAGGGAATGGAATGATGGGGGAGCAGAGTGGGACAGCAATGAGAGAGATGTCTTGATAGAGAGAGCAGAATAGGAGAGCAATGAGAGAGATGTCTTGATAGAGAGAGCCACTATGGGGTTAGGGAGAAACCTGGTGCCAGGGAAATTCCCAAAAATCCAGCTCAGACTCATAGCAATAGTGAAGAATGTGCCTGAACTGACCTTCCTCTATTACCAGGTTGGTGAATACCCCAACTATCATCATTGAGCCTTCATCCAGTAATTGATGGACTCAGATGCAGAGATCCACAACCAAGCACCAGGCGGAGTTCTAGGAATCCAGTCAAAGAGAGGGAAGAGGGAATATATGAGCAAGGAAGGTCAAGACCATGATGGAGAAATCTACAGAGACAGTTGAACCAAGCTCATAGAAACTCATGAACATCTGTGGAGACTCCAGGGGACCGAACTAGACCCTCTGTATGTGGGACGCAGTTGTGAAGCTTGGTCTATCTGAGGGGCCCCTGGCAGTAGGAGCAGGATCTATCCCTGGTACATGAGCTAGCTTATTGGAGCCCATTCCTTAGGATGGGATGCCATGCTTAGCCTTAATTCAAGGGGGATGGGCTTGGTCCTGCTCCAACTTAATATGCCAGACTTTGTTGACTCCTCATGGGAGTATTTACATGTTGGAGGGAGTGTTTAGGGGGTGGGCTTGGGAGGGAGGGTGGGTGGTGGGCTGGAGGTGTGGGGTGAGGGAGAACTATGGTTGGAATGTAAAATGAAATTAAAACAAACAAACAAATAAATAAATAACAGAGAATTAAGCCAGAAGTTCCTTTTGGTTCCTTTGAGGGACTCAAACAGTTGTTCATTCCTCCCTACCTAGTGTCATGTCACTAAGGATGGAAATTTGCAAGAACTAAGGGGAATCAGTTGCGCCTGTGAGGCACTGAGTGACTGTTGCTAGAAAATGCAGGAATATGGGAAACATGAAGCTGTCCTAGGCACCCTGGAACTTTGCACCTGTTCAGAATCTTCTGACAGTAGGTGGAGAGGAGAGCCCACCAGGCTCTAACCCGAAGTCTGAACTTAGCTTAGAAACCTAGAAAGGTGAACGGATGGGCGGGACCCTCTTCAAACATGGGAACTCGGGTTTGCAGCCTCCATGTCCTCTCCGGTTTTGGGGTTGATGCCAGCCCTTCTGTATAGGGAGGACAGGACAGCAGGAAGCAGAGAGGAGGGACCCTGAGGCTCAGGACTCCCCAGTCTCATTAAGACAAGTAACATGTGCTTCCATAAAGAAATGGAGCTGAAAAAGAAATGAGTACACTAGAATAAAACAAAGAAGACAGATTACAAGGAGTTGAGAAGGCAGTGAGCACAGAGTGGAGAAGCAGAGCCTGGGAAGTCCAGGTGGGTCCTCAGAGAAGGCTGCCTATGTCTCTCCCTGGAGTGGGGCCAGCTGGTTTTAGGCTGCTCTCACTCATTTTCCCTTCAAATGTCATGACCAGCTTTAGGACAGCCAACCGCTGGTCCAGCATCATATTCACAAAGTCTATGTATGAGATGGTGTCACTGACAACACCTGTCACCTCCAAGATCAGCTTCTTCATCTCCAGATGGGTCTCAAGGACCCCCCCCCCCCATTCTCTCCATTATCCTCTTTAAAGACATTAGATCAATATTGCCTTCATTGTTCAGGTCAAACTCCATTTATTTCTCTTTGAAAGCTGTGAGCTTTTCCGGCAGGTGCTCTTCATCGCTGTACTTCTGATCACAGAGGAACTCCGGGCTGATCTCTGCCAGCCTCCTCTCTATTCCGAGCAAGCCAATGCCTTCCCTCTGTGGAACCTGTTGCTGATGGAGAGTGACACACCAAAGGTGAAGGACGACTGGAAGGAAAGCACACCTGGTCCAGAGTTTCAGTGGCTTGTGTCGACAGGACCCATGGGCAGAGGGACCCCCCCCCACACCGTTTGTTCTCTGTGAAAAAGAAGGGAGGTTTCCACTCTGGCCTCAGTTGTCACGACAGGAAGAGGCCTGCTATAGTAAGCTGGGTGGCTGTTCCCTCCACCGGAGGGAAGGAAAGATGCTTGAGATTCCTTAGGTTAACCACGTTTGTTCTTGTAGGACTCTCATCCTCCTGTGACCTTTAAGGCTAACACAGAAGACATCTTTCCATTTACTTGCAAATGAAAACTGGCATCACTAGGAGAAGTGGTGCAGCTGACCGCTTGTGATGACTGTTCTTCACTGTCAAACTGACTACATCTGGAATTAATGAACACTCAAGTGGTTGGGCATACACACCTTTTTAAATGAAATCATTTGAAGTGGGAAGACCCACTTTTAATATGGATCTTTTGAGGCGGGAAGATACACCTTGAATCTGGGTCACACCTTCTTCTGGCAGCCTATATAAAGGACATGGAAGAAGAAAGTTTGCTCGTTGCTTGCTCCTGCTGACAAGTCCATTCATTCACTGGCAGTAGAGCTTATTTCTTTGGGATTCTGGCATATACGGAAGACCAGCTGAGGCATCCAACTTTGTGGAGTGAACAACTACTGGATTTGTGGACCTTATGTAAGTTATTCTAATAAATCTCTCTCTCTCTCTCTCTCTCTCTCTCTCTCTCTCTTTCTCACACACACACACACACACACACATACACACACACACACACATTCATTCTATCAATTCTATTCCTTTGGAGAATCCAGACTAATACACATACATAACCCATGTTTTTTTCTTCTGTTAGTTTGAAGTTGAGATTCTATCTCATAGATATACTTAGAGGAATATTCTGGAATTTATGGTGGATCTGATGAGGTCTCTCACCCCTGAGCAGATTGTATCTTTTTTCCATATTAACTTCCAAAGGGCATCCCACACTGCTCCAAGGCTCTGAGTTAAATTACAAACACACCACACCCGTGTTTCTTTTAATTTTTTTGAAAATAATAGTTTAGTATTCGCTGAATATGGCTTATGCCCTAAATGCTTAAATTTTGTTTATGATAAACCCCATAAGATGGCTCAAGCATTACTTAAAAGGGACATGATTAATGAGTATTAGCCAAGACATATTCCTCCAAATGAAACGCTGAAGCCATTAGTCACCATCTGTGCTTGGGGAGAGGGGCTGGAGTTGCTCATTCCTACATGGGACCAGGTGATGCCTATGACGCAGGGGCCAGTGCTTCTGATTCAGACATGCTATTTTTGCTGGTCTTGGCTAAGTGGCTTCTGATTACATACCACAGTCACTGGGCTTATTGCAATGGTGCTCCCTATGTCCCACTAGGATGTAAGATCTACCTCAGAGGGTGACACACACATGTGACAAAGGGTGACGTGCTTAGTGACTATAGAGGGAAAACACAGTGTCCTTTTAACAAAAGTGCTGCCGATAAGGAGCCTGGGTTGTTGGGTGGTGCTTGATCCGTAATAAGAGGTTTTCTACAGATGTAAGCCTTGCCAGGGTCTTTAGGATTACAATAAAGCTGTAAGGGAATTGTTTAGCAGTCAGGATGAGAAATGGTCTTTTTCTAATTTTTCATTTTCCCCCGGAGCAAGCAGGCTTGTGACAACATTGTTTGCCTCCCTCTACCCACACTGCTGCCATGTTCAATGCAGACTGGGTTATTAAGGCTTTGGATTAGTGCTGCCAAGAAATGCTCAGAGATAAGCAGGGTCAGGATGTGGTATTGCTCACCTGTAATCCCAGCATACATGAGGCTGAGGCAGAAAGATCACAAATTTTAGGTCAGTTTGGGCCATGTAGAAAGGGCCTGTGTCAAAACACCAAACAATAAACTGAAGAAGAGAAAATGATCAGAGATCAGTATGGTAGAAGAGACCGCCTATACCGAGTCTAAGTTTTTAGAAGGGCCTGGGGTATTTTTGCTCTGTGATTGTTAAGTTCTGAGAAAAAATAAAATAGAGCACAGTAGTGGCCACATGGAGAGGAAGACTTTGAGACAACAGAAGCCCAGTCTTGAGGCTATCCCCATGGCTCTGGCTTTGTGATCCAGCCTGAAGATATTCCACCCGGCGTGAGCTCTGAATGGCATGCCACATCCAGAACTGCATACAGCAAAAGTGCTATACAGCTACTTCTGAGAAGGGCTACTTAGAACAGTGTAGTTTTGGTTTGGCTTACTTTGCAGTAGAAGGAACCAAAACATCTATAAATAAATGGTCTGATGAGCCTTGGGCCCCACTCAATCTCAGCCTTGGGACCTGTGAACAAAGAAACTCAAGCAACCTGTCTGCACAACCTAGATGATGAGGCCATAGCCACCAGGTCAATAGAAGGAGAGACCAGGCCATCAAGGTCTATGCTGGAAGTATCATGGTGGTAGCTTATATATGCATTGCAGTGGGTATATGCCCTCATTCTCCAGGATCACTGACACCAGGGGGAATTGTGGTCATGAGGATTCCAGCAGAAACAGAGGTGAAGGTAATGGTCTGTGTGTGTCAGGAGTAACAGGTGGAGTCCTCCATATTTGGCATTCTCCTCTGTCCAGTCAATCCTTTTAGTCACTTCCTAGCAACAAGAACCGGTCCACTCCCATGTCTAGTGCTTAAGAAGGAGGGGTCACTTCTTTACGATTCCCAGTGGTTGCTAAAGAAGGCAAAGCAACATTTGTGATCCCGTGTGCGTGCGTGTGTGCGTGCGTGCGTGTGTGTGTGTGTGTGTGTGTGTGTGTGTGTGTGTGTGTGTGTGTGTGTGTGTTCAGGAAGGTCAGAACTTCGGGGAAGCCTCTGTTCCCTCTGGGACAGTGGCAGAGACTTGGCTGCTGGTTGTGGTGGCAAAGTGAGGCCTGCTATAGGAGGGCTGCATGGTCAGGTACTAGTCATCGGGCTGCATGGTCAGGTACTAGTCATCTGGCTCCTGCCTATCTTTACTCTCTAGATCAATGTCAGCTACTCAGGTTTCTTCTTTCCACCTCTCCCCTTTGATTGTCTGACTTTAAAATAGTATTCCTACCAATTATAGGAAGTATCAAATGTAGAAGAACAGCTGTGATAAGGGTTCACTCTCTGAGAAATTAAAACTGCAAAGAGGTGCTTCAGTGGTCAGGGCAATATGCAGTGAATTCTGCATGAAAGTCTGTTATCCTAGACAACTACATAGGGTTCCAGTGGTGAGGCCAGAAACACAGATTTTTGCCTGACATAAAGTGATAGATACGAATCATGCGGGTAGCAGTAATATCACTCTAGAGTCAAGCTCAGATACATATACTTCAAGAAGTGGGGTGAGGCCTACCTCT